ATGTTTGATTGACTGTTTGCAACATTGGCATGACCTCTTCTCTTTTCATTTCATGAACAGATATCAAGCCCCTTCCACAAGGCAGTGGACGAGTTGTTTGAGATCAATCTGGTCCTCGCCGCCCTCTTCCTAATCGGCCTTGCGCTGACCATGGTGCCATAGAAGGTGCTGAAGCTAGCCGGGCCCTGTGCCGTGAAGCTATTCGAGCACTACGAGCTAGTTGTCACCCTCACCTTCTTCATCTTCGCCATGTTCCGCTGAACACGGCGCCCTACCAAGGGGGCTCGTGCCCCTTACTGCGGCCGAGCCTCTGGAACCCCCTTAGATATACTTATCAAGAGAGAAACTAACCTACAAAGATGTCCTCCATGGCGCTGTGTGGACTCGCGAAGGTGAAGGTGGCGTGAGCGACAACGACACCATGCATCGACATGCACCCGCTCGCCAGAAGGTTACTGTGCGGGTGCATGGTGCTCACACTCCTCTCGGACTTGTCGGTTGGGATTGGGCTGCTCACCTACAACTACGTGCTGGAGGGCAAGGTGACGGTATTCTCGTGCCTTAGCGTTGGCGTTTGCTTTTCCTTCTTCGGCTCGTACGCCGCCTCCGACGTGTGCACGTACGCGTTGGCTAGGTTTCTCTGGGTTGTGGTGTTTTACGACTGAGTATTTCTATATGTCTGGGAACCGTCATGCATGCTCATGCCCTAAGTTAGCATCGGTAGTCTGTGTGTGTGGACTCTAGCCTGAACGAGACGCTCGGCCAAGGGCTCATGCCCCCTACTACAGCCAAGCCTCTAGAGCCCCCTTAGATATCCTTATCAGGAGCTTGCTGCTTGCGTCTATATCTTGGAGGCCCGCAACTATGACCAAATCTATAACTAGACCCACAAGTGTAAAAATATCTCGTTAGTCTCCTTCTACCTCCGGACTACCCTCTTCCCCCGACCTATGGCCAGCTCCGGCTGCCTCCTTGCCACCACGTTCTCTCTCCCCATCTCCTTCCCGATGATCCACAGCTCACCCCTCTGTGCTGCCGCCCACCGTGTTCGGAGGCGAGCTCGCTTAGGCTACACCCATTCTCCCCTTCGCGCCCAGAGTCAAGCTCACCCAGGCCATGCCTCGTCTCCCGTCCGCTCCACCACGCCTAGAGGTGAGATCGCCCAGGCCATGCCCCCTTCTCCTCACTCGCCAGTGCCCCGGAGGCTCTCCCTCCTCTCTATCCTTGGAGGCCAAGATCTCATGCAAGCAATGCGTCTGTGGCAAGCTCACAATGTTGTGCGCCTGAGGCTGAGGTTGGCCCAGCCCCCTTCTCCCTCCCTCCCATGGTGACCGTATATGTATCCTCCCACCACACGATGGTAGCAACGCTATGGCTTAGTCTGACATTCAGCACATCTAAGGACGAATGGAGGTGAGAGAGAGCAGTGGAAGTGGAAGAAATGATTTCTAATCGGAGCGGGTTCCATGTATGGGAGCGGGTTATATATAGGAGCTATATCGGAGCGAGTTCTATATAGGAGCGGTGGCACAGGGGTACGGAGCATGTCAGAAAATTATACGACCAACTTGGAACCCTCCCCACACCCCCCCCCCCCCCCCCCACCCCCACCCCACCCACTGCGGGCACCTTAACTAGTGCATCGTCGTTTCATGCATTTAGGAGTTTTTTGTGTTTATTTTATAACAAGAGATGTTGATAATTTAGATATAAATTATAAGTGACGGGTTATATATATATATATATTATAATATATGTGGGCAAATGGAATGCATGTTGAGGGATTATTTTGCTTTATCATTCAAAATAGTAGAGGTAGGTAATTTATATAAAAAATTAGGTCTTTCATAATGTCATAAGGTGTATTAGATACAAATTTAGGGGGGTCATTTTGAGTTATATTTAGTGAGTAATTAGATGTGCATTTATGGTTACTTATGTACTTTTTATGATGGCAGAGTTGGCTAATCTTTTCATAAAACATGATACATCTAATAGCTATAATTGGTGATGATTATTAGACCTATGTATCAAATTAAAAGCAATATGATTTTGATTATTGTGATAATTTATAAATATTATGTCTCGTGAGAATTAGCGTGAGATTCAATTAGGGCCTTTAATTAATTATAACAAGATTTATTATGGTACTCCTACATACGAGTTTATTGGTCTTGACACATCATCAATACACCCCTTCCATCCATGAGTGATAAGCAAGGTAAAAAAAAATCTAAGTTTACAGGTTTTTTATCAATAATAATTAAGACCCATTTAGACTTCATGGTCTAAAGTTTAGTTTACTACAGTTAAGGTCTAAACTTTAGACCACTTTAGCTAGCTTGTATGGTTTAATGAACTAATGATTTTTTAGTGAGGTTGACTAAACTTTAGACAACATTTTAGATTGCCTGTTTGGAGCCTCAAGAGTTAAAGTGGTATAAAATTTAGTTGCTAAACTTTAGACTATTTGATTCAAACAGGACTGTTAGTCAAATTATGTATAAGTTTAGAGCCTAAGGCTTGCATCAAACTCAGCGGCTTAGCGATACGAAAGATCCCGTCCACGTCAACAAAGAATGGAATAATGTGTGGCAATCGCGGAAGGCAATCCCGTCCATAGTGCAGTAAGTGAGCATCAGATCAGCTAGTACATGTTCGAATCTGCGGTACATCAGGCTACAGTTTGCCAAAGAATTATAGGCAAAGAATTCACAGACTACAGTTTCAATCCGTGGCCAAGTATATATAATCTGAGTTTGAATCTGCGGGCCAAAACCAAAAGTCGGCTTGAGATCTGCATGACTGAATCTGTTGTACAGTAATACTCCTTCCATTCTAAATTATAAGACGTTTTGTCATTTCTAGATACATAGATTTTGCTATGCATCTAAATATACACTTATGTCTTGTACTTATAATTTGAAATGGAGGGATCAGTACTTATAGTTGCTCCCCCAAGGAATAAAACGTGCATGGTTCCGGAGCAGTTTAAGCCGTGCAGTGCAGGCGTGCATCATGCCCGTCTCTGAAACCTTGGCATCGTAATATGCCCAACAATAACAAATCCACGCAATTCACGAGATGCCCACTGCGCCGCCGCCGTCAGAGGTCGGAACCGCGTGGCGACAAGAACAACAGAAAACCACATGATCAATCTGGAGACAAGGATAACACGAGCAAAGTTCGATCGGGATGTTCGCTCTTGAGTGCCGAGTGGCAGGCGCATGTGCCGCCTGAGCTGTGCCTGTCATATACTATATGTGCTGACCAGACGCCGGGTTCGCTGGCGTCTCTGTCTGACAAGCAACGTACGTGCTGCTGTGCAGTGTGCACAGTGCACTACGGCCGGGAACGGCATGGCAAGTGACGGAACGTCGCCCTCCACGACTGCTCCCGGCAGTCGCTCCATCCCTGTCGTTCCCTGCCAGCAGCTGAGCCCAGGCACTTCACCTCCTCCTCATGTTGTGATCGGCAACAAGGCCTGTTAAGGCGTAAAAAGCCAAGCAGCGGTATTTTTCTTTTTTGGAACGGCCGCTACTCGGTTTTGGCGCGAGGGTTGTAGCCGTGAGGGCTGAGGCGGTGATCATCTACTGCTCGTGCTCGGCTGCCGTTTATACGATACTCTGCGTTCCTGGATCTTCCTCTCTACTCAGATTTTTCAGTGTTGTCCTATTCGTTTCAACTTATCAGCCATGGTACAGGGTTTTCCTCTCACAACAAATTAGTAAACAGTACTTTTCAACCTTGCTTTTTAGCCAAACGAACAGGGAAAGGTTCAAAGTTACAGTCATCTCAAGGAAAGGGCAAAAGATAGTGTAACACGCAAACTCAATGGAATTTTAACTGGATACCTTTTATATATGTGCAGCATGGACCAGAAAGACAATGTGATGATTCATTTCTTTTGCAAGTCTGTATGGATGCTTCTTGCCACATGGGCAATACATGTGATGATTCATCAATGCATTCTGTTTCCATTCAGAGTTTACATATCAGAGTTTATCAATGCATCTCTTTTGCATCACATTCGGAACCGTACATTACGCGTCAGATCGGAGCAGTACATGCATGATGGCCACACATACCAAACCAGTTCCTGAGCCAACTGAACCTCTGGAGTAATACTCAATTACTCCCTCCGTCCAAAAAAAATTATAATTCTAGCTTTGAATCTGGACACGACGCGTGTCCAGGTTCAAAGCTAGAATTATCTTTTTTTTCTGGACGGAGGGAGTACCAAAATTCTATCTAAAATGGAAGCCAGGAACAGGAGATGTGGGGAACACAAAAAATCAAGCAACGAGAACTGCAGAAGTAGAGTAGAATTGTAGATCAAGTATGAAAAGGAGATGTAATCATGGGAGGTCGCCAGCAGCTTGCTTCCTGCACCTTGCCCCTTCATCGCAGGAGCTAGCTGCAGCCGTGGCGGACTGGTTGATGCCCCCCCAGCACGGGTGCTCCCGGAGCCATGGTCTGGACTGGAGAAGTCAACTGATGGCACGGAGGGGGAGGGGGAGGCCGGCGAGCAGTGGCGCACTCCTGCGCAGCGCGGGTGTGCACAGCAGGCAACACCAAGGGGTGCAAGGCGACGTGAGGGGACAGGGGCTCACCGGGGAGCAGTGGCGCGTCTCCTGCGCAGGAGGCAGTTCGAGGGGGCGGGGGCTCGTCGCCAGCGGCCTGCGAGCGGGAGGCAGGAGGCAGGCGCCGTGCAACCGTGGGAGGAGTCTGAGGCTAGACAGGGCAGATAAGGGAGCGCTTGTTGGGCTGGGCCGTATCCCAGAGGCTGATCGTATCAGGTCACGTACTCGATATTTCCTAAATTAAACAAAAACAGGATACTCGGATGATACGTATCCAAACCGTATCGGTGACGTATCCGATACACGATACGTCACCTTCCTGACATATCCGTGCTACAGTACTATTAACACTAAAAAATTTCAGAACAGAGAATCACCATAGGCAAAACTTGGGGTTTCCACATTTGCCAAAGAATTCTAAGCAGACGAAGCTCCTTCACTGTCCGTACCCTGCTGTTCCTCACCCTCATCCCCATTTACAAAAACTGTCTCTTCAGGTTCATCAGCATCATCTGTGTTCTGCATTTCATTCTCTTCCGATGCCTGAGAACAATTTTATTCATTATATTCCAAAAGGTAACAAAAATTACAGTCGTCGACAAGGAGAAATAATGAAATAATTGCATATCAATCAAGACATAAGGAATGGGCCGATGTGAAAATGGATCATAATAAATATCAAGTTCCTAAGAAAACTCCATAGTGCATAAATGAAAATGGACAATAAGAAGCAGAATGCACATGAGATACCTGTTGATCAGGTTCTCCATTTTCCTCAGCTGTATCTTCAAGTTCCTCATGCTCAATGACCTGCATCCTTTTGAAAGCTTCCACAAGAGTCATGTCTGACTTCTCAGCACGATTCAAGTACTGGTCAGCAGGAGGATAATGGCCCCTGCACATAAAGACTTATGTTATCGCAAAATTTTTACTTAATCAAAAACTGTGAGGTGGTCAGGGCTCAAGACCCAGAGCAGATGCAATAAAATATTGGTGACATTACTCTTTGGAACCAATAAGCAGTTTCTGTGATTCAATGTTTTTTTTAACTTCTGGTGTAAGCAATACGCTAGAACAAAACATAGTAGTTTGTGTGATAATGTGTACCTCTGAGAAGCAATGCTTTTTTCTACAGTTAGAGCAACCTGCCAGTCTTCAAATAAATTTGGATATTCAGAAGGATCTGCCAGAGACTCTGCAGCTTTTGGATTAATCTGCATACAATGTACAGACAAAAAGGATAAGATACTAGCATGAAAAAAAAATCGAATGGCACAACACTTTTCAGTAAGAAGACTAAGATGGGAACATTAAGAAATTACTTTACTGAGGTCGTTTCTCCAAATTGCTACTATCTCTGGTACTTTGCTAGGAAGATATGATCGTGCCATTAATGCAGCTTCAGGTATACGGTTACTGCAGAATACACAAGATAATGTTTAGCTCTAAAAGAAAGAGCACCAAAACAAGGATTTAATCACAGCAAACAAGATTTACCTGTCTACAAGCAACTGTATGCAACCTTCCACTTTACCAAGCATAAAAAGGCAGAGGAAAGCAACATTGTTTTTTCCATGTTCTTTTGCCAAAGAAGCAAGCTTTTCAATTCCTTCAGCATCTCCAAGAGATGAGTACAGTAGCAACAAGCCACTTAAATCCTTCGCTTGAAGAAGGCATTCCTCCGCCAACTCTAGCTGCAATGTAGAGTCGTGGCATACCCATGCCAATAAGCTATCATTCACGAGCTAATACAGATAGGATATGTTCAATTTAGGTCATGTCTAAATTGACATCATTCCGATTCGCATGGAGAATTTTGGCAAGGAAAACATGTTCCGTTGAAGTTTTGAGAAGATTAAAGGCCCCGACCCAAAACTATTTGATCACAAAAAAAAAAAAACGTCACACTACAAAAGAGGCATTCCATTCTTGAAAACTTGTTTCTTAGCAATGTAGTTATTTAAATGTCAAATACAAACTTTCATAAGGTTTAAGAGCCAACCTTGCCTGTGGACATGGCGAGTTCACCCAACTGCTTCCATTTAGATTGACTTTGTGCTTCTATGGCGATAGCCTGTACAGTAAATAGGCATGAGAGGTCTTATAATATATGTTAGTAATTTTGCAGCAATGCAGTATACAATACCTCAAAATATAGTCTACGGTATTAGAAGAAAATTAGTGACAATATAATCAGTACCTTTGCAACTTCTAATTTTCCAAGCTGCACAGCTAGGTCAAACTTGTAGTCAGCATCGGTGGCTATCTCAAGAGCCTCTTCCAACATACCTCTCGATTCCAAAAATGAGCAACACTGTCATATGAAAGAGAAACAAGAACTGAGGTTAGAAGAGAACAGACTCTAAATAAAGTTGGACAAAATACACAAAAAGGGCGGAGAAAACTAAGTATATTAATTCAGTAAATTATGAACATACACAAGATAAAAAACAATATTTAGTTTTTACTTTTCTTCCAAATTATAAGATGTTTTGGCTTTTCAAGATACATTACTTTTACTATGTATCTAGAAATAGTGTATATCCAAGTGCATAGCAAAAACTATGAATCTAGAAAAGTCAAAACGTCTTATAATTTGGAATGGAAGGAGTACAACATAAATATACCCTTAAAAGGAGTCTATTTAGATATGGCATACATCAGGACAGTTATGTGACACTGATAATATATACATCAATTTAACATATAAGCTATCTTCCACGAAACAGAAAATGGGCCTAAAAGCAAAGACAAATTAGAAAAAAAAGGAGTATACAAAAAAATCAATTTATATTTTGGAACAAACAGGTAATCACAAACCTATTATATTGCGCCTTTGGTATGGACGATAAAATTTCATTTGCATGTTCCAAATCCCCACGCATCACAAGGGTCTTGTACTCAATCAAACTCAGAAGTAATGTGTACCCAATGACACTGTACCAAGCTTATATGTTAGTCACAGAAACTAACAGATGCTACAAAAGAATGGAAGCATTGGTTTCGAGAAAACGCACTTAAACTCCTTGTCAATAAGATAAACTCGACTTTGGTTCGCAAGATATCCCAATAGGTACATAGGGCGATCCAAATGATACATTGTAGTGACCTGTAAGTATAAAGCTTATAACTATTGAAGTCGTGACACACATAGTGCCCATATAGAGAACTTAAACAGAAGAAAATGTTTTCGAGTAGACTATATTTACCTCACCACCAACGCAATAATTTAGGCGCGACGATGAGTTGTTATAGATAAAGCAGTCTCCAACCCAAATTCCAGTTCTCACTCGCTCATTGACCTCATGAAGCAGCTCAAAAGCATCTTCGACACCTTCTTCGTCCACAGGCTTTCCACCTTCTAGATAAGATGCAACAATATCTCTCTACAAAGCACAAATCATACAATCATTTTGTGTTATAATCCCCATGCATCACAAGGAGGTGGGTAAAAGAAGGAAAAAGAAGCAAGATAATAATCATTTGAGGATACGATATCTTACATTGTACTTGAGGATGTAGAATGATGTATCACTTGCTATTGCAACTAGGTCACCACTATCAGCCCAGTAAACGTTCTATAAACACATGATAAAGGTTAATAGTAAACTCAAAACATACAAAATTTCCACCCAAGAAAAAATAATACTTGACTCACCTTAACATTCACATCGATTCGGCGTATTAGTCTACAATCAGCCCAGTCATAAAAGCAGATGAAGTCACTAGAACACATAGCCAACAATACCCCACCAAAAATACGCTCTGCTGAAAATGAAGGGCGGATAGTTTTCTTCTCCTAAAAAACCAGATAATTTAAGTCACAGGACACAATTAGAATGCCAAAAGATTACAATGTGCTTTTTTGTGAAATAATTCAAAAAAAAAAGAAGGCTAGATCACAAACTTCACATTCTCTTCTACAACTCCTACAGAAGTGATATGGCTAATAAAGGTGAGCGGGCAAGGGACATGCAACAAGCATAAGTTATGAATCTCCAATGAATTGTAAGCCTTAGTAACAAATCATTGGAAAAACTTGCTGCAGAAATCAAAGGGCACAAGTAGAATTTTTTCCAGAAACATCACTGAATAAAGGAACACATGATGAAAGAAAAGAAAGCTAGAAGAGTCAACTGAATACTAAAGGAGTAAAGGATGCATCTTTACAGACGCCAAAACTAGAGGAAATGTTTAGGTAATTATGAAAGAAAAAATAGAAACACGCATCTGATTAAACAATTTATATATAGAAAACAATAAACTAAAGTAGACCATGTACCTGAAATGATTTACTGTAAGTCTTTATTCTTGATGTACTTTCCCTAATTGCATATTCTCCTTCTGATGACCAAACAAATTCCAGTGCAGTTCCAAATGATCTATTCCTCCAGGCCAGGGCAGTATAAATTATGTATTCGCCATCTCCACATACAACAACGAACCGTCCATTAGGGTTATGCTTCAAGCTCTGACCAACCAAAACGATTACTCACAATCAGATTATACACCACTCAAGATTAAATAAAAATCAGCACTGCCAAATAAGAAAAGAAAAAAAATGACCAGTTAATAACTACACTATAAACCTACAATAGTAACAAGTTTTAGAATACAAAGAATATATCAGCATCCAAAAGTACCTGTGGGTACAAATCACAGCTTCCTAACTCTTTTACAGCCAAGGGTAATCTTTCTCCATCTGTGGCCTGATTTGCAAAATACAATAACCTGTTAGACAAGTGCTTGCTAAATTATTTCATTTTATGCTGAAACAGACCAACTTACCTCAAAGCCTGCACCGACTGTCTTGATATTTACAGTTTGTATTTCATTATGTTTCGCCCAAATGATTTTCCCACTGGTATCCATACTTGCTATGGGTACTTCACGCCCATTTTATCATAATGGTCCCCTCACATAAACCAATCACCATCCTAGACAGTAAACAAACAGTATACTTGTTTCAGTATTAGAAAATACATAGTGGGCCCGTAGGCAACTACATAAGGATAGGACCTACTAGATACCAAAAATCTCAACCACAGGGACAAAAGAACCCGTTGGCTGTCTTAAGAATGTGAACAACTTGAGAGCTACAAGCATGAACATTGCAAGAAAGATAGAAATGAACAGGAGACATGAAATTGTAGCAGTTGCCGCTCATCGAATAACATACTGGGTTTATACAAAGTTTGAAACCACTAAACAATCGACCATACTATGCTCCCCATGAGGATATCAGCTAACTAGTGTGGCCCTCTTTAAGGCAAACAAAAAACAATTTGTAGATAGCATTTATAGTTGATTTACTAGCAGAATGACACAACTACACATACATACCATTAAGAGACACAAAGTGATATGATGCTTCTAGTTCTACTCAAAAGTGAAATGCTATATTAATAGCCAGTGTCCATTATAACTGACAACACTACTGAAACAAAAGCAGAATGCTAATGATCTTACCTTCTTGATCCCTTAATGTATCCAACAGCCCAGACTCTCTCAAGGCCATAGTTTAGTGTGTTCTCAAGTCTACAAAATAGTTCAAGGTATAAAACAAAGAACATCTCAGGATATGAAAAGAGTAACACAAGCAGTGTTCAGACTCAATCAGTATAGGACATTTTCCAGATTATTACAGAGGCAAGAATAATTTAACTCAACCAACCTAGGAGGAACTAGGTGGGCATTGTAAATAAGAAGGAATAGGCACCCCAATTCAAGTTCAAGAGGACTCGAACTTGGATCTGGGTGGTGGGAATGCACACCACACCTCCCACTGAGCCAGGCTCCATTACTAAGACTGATTCCAAAAACAAGTACTCATTCCATTCCAAATTATAAGACGTTTTGGCTTTTCTATACATTGCTTTAACTATGTATCTAGACATAGTGTATATATCTAAGTGCAAAGTAAAAGCTATGTTTCTAGAAAAGCCAAAATGTCTTATAATTTGCAACAGAGGGAGTAGTATTTGTAATTTCGGTAAGCAAAATAGTTAAACTAACCACTGTCCTTTTGTTTCACACCCTACATGTCACTACACAGTGTACACACAGAATGTAATTGTGCTATCCTGCATGCAAGACAGGTACCGACACACATGCAAAAAGGAAAAATATAATGCACAGATAGGGGTTTGGTGAGGGATGTTCAATTGCATGCTATCATAAGAAATAATACAAAGGTATCATATCATAAAAAGTAAAATAAAGCATATTTCGTTCAATGACATGGCAGATAAGCTCATACATTTAAGTTAGCACACCATGGAATTAATAAGTGACCGTGGGTTTGAACTTTTCAACCATAAGAATAGAAAGTTAAATACCACTGTCATGCCCATAGGCCTTTACATTAAAATTAGGTGTGCCCAATTGTACTAGAAACAAGATAGTTGTTTAGCATTCTGATTTATGAGGAAGTCGGTAGATCTGTGTTTCAGGATGGAGAATTGATAATTGATAAATGGGCAAATTGTAATAATGAAAAAATAACAGACCTCTGCTTACATAAACAAGCAAACATAGAGATAAATAAAAACATGTTACCTGTAAGTTGTCGAATGCCATAAACGAACTGTACCATCTTCAGATCCAGTAATGATTATAGGGAGCTCAGGATGGAAACAAACAGCAGAAATATTATGTGTATGCCCTTCAAGTGTCTGAACACAGCTCTTCGTCTGGTAATCCCAGACCTATTTTGCCATAAAATGCACCATCATAGGACTGCATAGAGCAACCAAACATTCAAAACATACAGCTAAGTACAAAAATGTACCTTTGCAGTGGAGTCATCAGAACCAGTAATCAAATAGGGCCTGTCACCACCAGTGAAGTAGTCAACACAGTTGACACCCTTTTGATGTCCATCGAGTGTGAAGTTTGGATCTGGAGAGCCCAAACTCCATATCTGCAATCTCAGAGTAAGAAGTATGAATGAACAAGATCACATCATGACTCAGTCGCAACTAACATCTTGCTGTATAATATTGTAAAGGCACACCTTTGTAGTGCGGTCAAGAGATGCGCTTGCAAAGGTGTTAATATCCTTTGGATTGAAAGTAACCTGCATCACATAGTGTGAATGTCCCTCAAATATTTGAGTGCACATCCACCCTTTATCCCAGTCCCACAGTTTTATTAGCATGTCATCAGATGATGACAACACATATGGTAGAGTTGGATGGACCGCAACACATCTGATGTAATCAGTATGAGCCTCAAAAACTTTAACTTTGTCCATGGTATTGTAGTTGTAGACACGAATGTACATGTCGTCTGCACCAGCTACAACCCATTGTTTTCTTGAAATAAATTTTGCCGACCTCACTGAAAATAAGTTTAAAATATACATTAGCATCATGCTGATCGCCAAAAGTTCTCATTCCACGTGAATCTAAGTGCTTTGGATACCTGGCAGTTCTGAAACTTCAAATGATTTCACCATTGCCTGAAAAGGTATATACAAAAACAAACATGTTAATGAATAAAATTCTCAGAATCCAACTTTATTTTTATGGCAACAACAAATATATACTTGTTATAAGTAAAATGACAACAATGCACTGGTAAATCATATCCATTCATGACATATACATAGATCCACTAGCTGGATCCTAATTTCCCAGAAATGAGACAATATTTCTTATGTCATACTCATGATTTTCACAAAATCATTTTGATTTCTTATTGTAGTACCTAAGGTAAATACCACATTTTGTACTCAAGCATACAGACCTGCAGAACTGCATGTCCATATACATGATACGCAATAGTTCGACAATGCAACTCAAACACATTGGTTCAGACCCACAATCATGAAGGTGAAGATTGGTGACAGAAATGGAACAGAAACAGGTCATCTTATACAACGATGTAAAAGGTCATTACATTAACACCTTAGCTCACAGAAATGCAGACTGGCTAAAAAAGGGAGGACATAATTGTCATAGCGGAGCCAATATGAAGGGTCACTCGGTGGCAAATGAAATTGAACTATCAACGGTAACCCAGGATCGAAAATTTTCAGTGTAGATTCTAGATGCGTAATAATGTATCAGAACAATCAAGTGTTGTTTGTAGCCCCAATGACCTATATACTTGAACAACATATAATGAGAGAAATAAACAAGGCGACCATAAAGTAAAGTTCTTTAAAGCTCATAACTGAGGAAACTTAGACATGCAAAATTCTACAGCATGCCAGCCCACCAAACAATAGGCAGCACCATAGATCATAGCAACAGCAAAGACGTCTGGAATAAAGGATCCAGCATTACGAGAGAAAACCCTAATGTTATGCTTTGTTCATATCTTATTTGCTAGCATTGGTATGAATTCATGCACATGTCATTTACGGAAACCAGTTCGGGCCCTTACGGCCTTACCTGTGCCTGATAATCCCAGATGCAGACACTCCCCGAGTACAGGCTCGACAGGATCCTGCACAATGCAAGCCACGTATAGTCAACAATAAGAACAAGCACACAAAAACGGTAAGCACAAGCAGCGGCAATGGCTGAAAATTCAGTGAACGGCCCCAGAACAGAATCGGAACTTACCATGGCTCCGTGGGATGCAAATCCACTGACTTGACCCTCTCCGACCGTTGAGCGAACTTCCGCTAATCACCAGCAACGAAACAAAATCAGCGCAAAATCAAAGCGGCGCGAACAGTACAAGGACGACGTGGAGACCGAGATCCAGTGAGGTCGGGCAGGCGCACCTTGATCTCCAACCTGAGCGGCTGCAGGGAACACGAGCGGAAAACAACATTGGTCAGATCTTTGAGCAAACGCCATGCACCGGGCTCGAGAAAAACCGGCGAATGGATTGGAGAATCGGGAGCGGGCGGGTTCAGATCCACGTACCATGGTGGAGGCGGCGGCGAGGAAGGCTCCGGGTCGAGCCGGGCGACTGCGCTAAACCCTAGAGATTCCCCAGCGGCGATGGGGTGGTGGGGCGCGGCGAAGAGGGAGCGAATCCGATCGCGAGCTCGGTGGCGCAGGCGCGGCGAGCGACAGGGAGGGAGAAAACGGAAAAGGGACCGGCAGATGAGGGAGGTTTTGTGTGTAATTTAGTTACTTTTTATTTTAATCCAAATTAGCACCTAGAAATTATTGTATTGTGTTTCCCAAATTGCAAACTGTGCCGCACACGCATAGCCCACCTTTTTTTTCATTCATTCAAGGGAACATTCTTCGTGTATGTTTTTCGCGGATGATATAGTGCTAGTTGATAAAAATCGGACAGGAGTGAATCAGAAACTGAGTATATAAGATGTGACTTCGGCACTACTACTTGGGAGGAGAAAGATATTAGTTTAGAAAGTCAAGTAGTGCCTAGGAATGATATATTTCGATATTTAGGATCAATGCTATAGAGAGACGGGAATATTGATGAAGATATTAGCTATAGAACCAAAGCAGGGTGGATGAAGTGGCGCCAAGCATCTGGTGTCCTATGTGACAAAAAGGTACCACAGAAGCTAAAAGGCAAGTTTTATAGGACGGCGATTAGACCTGCTATGTTGTATGGTGCAGAATGTTGGTCTACGAAAAGACGGCATATTCAACAGATAAGTGTCGCAGAAATACGTATGTTACGTTGTATTTGCGGTCATACAAGAAGGGATCGAGTTCGAAACGATGATATACGTGATAGATTAGGGGTAGTACTAATTGAAGAAAAACTTATCCAACACTGTTTGAGATGGTTTAAACATGTCAAACGGAGACCTCTAAAAGCACCGGTGTGTAGTGGAATACTAAGCCAAGATAATAATATGAAGAGGCAGAGAAAAACCGAAATTGACTTGAGTAGAAAGAATAAAAGAAGACTTGAAATAATGGAATATACTAAAAACTTAATCTTAGATAGGAGTACTTGAAAAACAATTACTCATATGTCGAAATCTTATTACTTTTGCTGAATTTTAACTCTAGCATGCCTCAACTTGTATAGAGTCAAAGGCTTCGTGGTTGTATTCATGGCCGAAGGCAGTCGCACAAAACTCAGTCGCGAGCAATTTCGCGTCACTATTGCGGTGACATTGTGGCTGCCTGTCGAGTGTCGACAGCGTCCAAACATGTTAAGATACACACTTGTTATTAAAATTTATTATATCCATTCAATAATTAATCATGTATAAATATTATTTGAGTATAATCAGATCGATCTGTGCCATTTTACATATACGAATTTGTTCTCTTCTATCCGTGCTCGAAGTTTTGAGCTCCTAGGCAGTGACTATTTGGTTCATCAGACTGACTCCAACGGCGCATGCAATCCGTGACCAAAACGCAAAATCGGTCGCCCAGAGTGTTTTGCCTTCGAAAACATCGCTCCAACGGATGACCCAATCACCTCACCCATTTAGGGTACGAGGCTTGCCGAGCTGCAAATGTGCGTCGTCGAGAGAGGGGAACGCAAATCTCTGGCGGCGTCGTAGTGGTGGGCCCGTAGGAGCGGGGCGCGGCGAGGCGGACCGCTGCGGGGAGTCGTCGCGGCGAGGTCCGCCTCGCGCTCGTCCATGGCGTCCGTCTCCACTCGTCTGCCCCGCCGCCGCGACGTCCAGCGGCCAGATCCGCGCAGCAGGGGTGTCCTCCACCGCGGATCGACCGACCTCCCGATCCGCGCAGGGGGAGTGGCGGCGGGCGCCGGAGGGCTTGGCCGGGGATTCCGCGAGGCTGGAGACGGAGGAGGGGAGTGGTTCCGCGGTGGTAGATCCGCCGGTACCGGAAGAAGAGACGGGAGGCGATGGGCCTGGACTCCAGCAGCAAGGCCGACGGCGGTAACGAGCAGCAGCTGCAGCAGCGGAAGAAGAAGGCCACCGCGGCTGCCGCGGCCTCCAAGCGGGAGAGGGAGAGGGAATAGGGAAAGTGGGGCTAGGGGAGGTGGAAGCGGCGCGGGGGAGAGAGATTGAGGAGAGAGAGGATGGGATTTTGGGGTGGCTGTTGGAGAACGTGAGGTTTGGATGCTCGGACTTTTTTACTGTGCACCACCCAAACTGCAGAATGGGTCTCTGATTTGGGTTGTGTGGTTGGAGATAGCCTCAAGAGGACTCGAGTCTCTACAGTTCGAACGGATACAATGCTACTCTAGGCTCCCTTCGTCAGCAAGGCAGCAGGATGTCAAAAAGAATGTCTTTCCTTTTTAGATTCAGGAGGTGTTTGGTTATTTAGTCGCTCCCAAAATTTATATCACATCGAATGTTTAGATACTAATAAAGAGCATTAAAAATAGATTAATTACAAAATCAATTACATAGATGGAGGCTAATTTGCGAGACGATTTTTTAAGCCTAATTAATCTGTCATTAGCACATGTTTACTGTTGCACCACGTTGTCAAATCATGGACTAATTAGGCTTAAAAGATTCGTCTCGTAAATTAGTCGCAAGTTGTGTAATTAGTTTCATAATTAGTCTATATTTAATACTCCATAAATGTGTCTAAACATTCGATATGACAGGAATTTTAGTAGCGCGTGTAGAAACCAAACAGGGCCTCAGAACGTCAGCCCCCCGGACGTCCGAACGGGGCTCGCATCCGGACACGCTTGTTTCATGTGGGGGCCCGCGCCACTCCGTGTCCCGCGCTTGCACCGTGGCCCGCACGCGCTCTGTGTCTCGTGCTCACACTGTGGCGCCCGCTCCACACCCACGTGTCTACAGGCGGGCCCAGTAGCTACAACAGGTGAATGATGTAGATGGGTCCCAGTGCAACATGTGCAACACCAAGATGTACTTTTACAGCATCCAAATGAAGCACTTGCAACATACATTTGAAACAATTGAAATACTTACAACATACGTCTGAAACACCAGTGTAGTCATTGCAAAACATACGCAACATTTTAGATAAAACGCTTGTAACAAATGTGTGAAACATGTGCAACATCCGGATGAAACATACTTACAACATATGTCTGAAAAAAATAGATGAAACGTTGGGGACAGACGCTTGCAACATACGTGTACAACCATTACAACACATGCAACATCCCGATATACTTTTGCAATATCCGTATGAAACGCTTGAAACATACCTCTAAACACATCTGAAACATTTGAAATGTGCACTTGCAACATGCATCATATCCCGTCGCTGCCAGACGCCCACGGGCCTTGCTGTTGGCGACCTTCTTGACTGCCTGACGCCTACGACCACGAACCCACCGAGCAACTGCATCCTCGTCAGCGCTATTGGGCGAGGCGTCCCTACCCGATCTCGTACTCATCGTCGGAAATCGCCACCGAGGGAGGAAGGGAGCGCGAGGTGCAGTCGGAGAAGCCCGCTCTGGGTATGGCCACGTGGATCTCGTGACGTCGCGAGTTGAGGTCAATAGCGGAGAGGACCTTCTGGTGGGAATGACGGTGTCGGCAGCACAGAGGCGGAGTGCCCGTGGGCGGCAGACATGACACCGAACCAAGCGGGATGGGGCACACCAGAGGCGGAGTGGGCGTGTGAAAGCTCTAGATTGGTTTTGGTTAATTGATGAAACCCTAAGTGCTAACCTAGTTTATCAAGATGATTATGAGATAGGTAGCACTGCTCCAAGTGATGAAGCAATGACGAAGATCATGATAATGGTGATAGCATGGTGATGATCAAATGCTTGAACTTGGAAAAGAAGAAAGAGAAAAACAAAAGGCTCAAGGCAAAGGTATAAAATGTAGGAGCCATTTTGTTTTAGTGATCAAGACACTTAGTGAGCGTGATCACATTTAGGATAGATAGCCGTACTATTAAGAGGAGTGTAACTCGTATCGAAATGCGGTTATCAAAGTGCCACTAGATGCTCTAACTCATTGCATATGCATTTAGGATCTAGTGGAGTGCTAACACCCTTGAAAATATTTGTGAAAATATGCTAACACATGTGCACAAGGTGTTTGCAGGGTTGAGATGGGTTTGGGTCCCTCTCTCCCTCCCGCCGAGCTTACGAGGCAGGATTCGGCGCTTTTAGAAAAATGAAATGTCTATTTTCTATTGCGCCGGATGCAAAATTCTTGGTGGTTGGCACATTTGAGCAAGGGTGAAGAAGTTAGAGTTGAAATGGTGAAAGGTCCTTGTTGGTTTTGGTAATTGAGTGACAACCTAGGTGGACTAATTGTGTTTATGTGAGATACACAGGTGATTAGTCCACAGGTACATGTGTGTGAGCAGCATATGCCATGAAGGTGAAAATGGCTTAGAGATGTTGCAAAGCTCACACATGTGATGATGAAGGAGCTTATTGCACATGAGACATGACATTGAGTCATGTGATCAAGGTGGAGAAGATCAAGACAAGACTTGGCTTGATGGACCGGTTGCAAGCGTGAAGGGCAAGTCAAAGGCTTTGGAGTGATGGACCGCGTGGCGGTGAAGCTTGAGCAAGACTTGGCGCCGATGGACGATAGCAACGGTGAAGAGCAAGTAGAGTCAAGATCGATGAACCAATATGATCATGTGATGATATGAAGTGGATCATATCATTGTTGATCATGTTGGTGCATGTGTTGCATCGACATTGAAGGAGATGGAATGGAATGCGCAAGGCAAAGGTATAACCTAGGGCATTTCATTCCACCGGTCATAGGTGTGTAGAGAAGTTTATGACCGGATTTAGGATAGATGGCCGTACTATCAAGAGGGGCAAACTTGTTTGCATATCGGTCATCTAGTGCCACTCGAGTGATCTAACTTTGCATTGTCGCTAGGATCGAGTGGCGTGGCAAGTTGAGTGGCTAACATCCTTTGGGAAATGATTGTGAAAATGCTAACACACATACACATGATGGTGTACACTTGGTGGTGTTGGCACATTTGCAAAGGAGGTGGTGTTTGCAGGGGTGAGATGGGTTTGGGTCCCTCTCTCCCTCCCGCCG